GAGCCGCTCCAGATCGATTCCCGACTTGCGGCTCGCTGGTCCAACTCCTGCATAAGTCGCTCAAGATCGCTCCCGACTTACGACCCGTCGGCACAGCTCTTGCACGAGTCGCTCTAGATCGGCTCCCGACTTGCGACCCGTCGGCACAGCTCTTGCACGAGTCGCTCCAAATCGCTCCCGCCTTGTGACCCGTCGGCACAGCTCTCGCTCGAGCCGCTCCAGATCGATTCTCGACTTGTGGCTCGTCGGCCCAACTCGTACCAAGGGGGTGGAGGGAGGAGAAATGATAAGGCCGGTGTCACATGCCAAGTCAGAATCCGTACCAAGTCGTTGCTTGGCACGTCTCGAAAATCCCGAGACATCACCACCCCCAAGACACGACAAGTCAGAATCCGTACCAAAGCACTGTTTGACACGTCCACCACGCCAACCCGCATACGACCGACCCTCGGACAATAGTATAAAGACCTCTAGCTGGCATCCGACCTAGGGGTGAAGAAAACAATTCCACAAACAACTGATTTCCTCGTCGGAGGGGCCACAGTTGGGAATCACCCGACGAAGGCCTTTTTTTGCAGGTAAGCGATCGCCCCGAGCCACAAGCACCTCGACTAGAAAATCGCCACCCAATGAGGGAGGTCGAGCTGTCACTTATCTCGGGAACGGAGAGACGCAGCTTGACGCTGACGACGCTCGGACTAACAAACGCTGACCAACACCTCATTGCGAAGGCCTGACCTACCTGGGCATCCAACTCAACCAACATCGACCCGTGGACCTAACTGTGTTGACCCCCACGACATTTTTGTTCACCATCAATAAGGACTATGTCTAAGTCATCCGCTTTTCCCAACCAAGCTCCCGAGGGTCAATAATGGACTCTTATAAAGTTACTGAGGTAGCACAATGGATGAAGAATCGAGAATCAATTAACGAATAATCAATCAAAAATCAATAAACGAATAATCCGAGTTAGAAAGGTAGGGAGGTAATTGAATATATATTTCCAAAAAGTAAATGAAAATATATTTTTATTAAAAATCAACTTTTGCAATGTAATACAGAGAAAAAAAACCTCTTACTTATGCCTAAAATATCAAAATTATAGTGTGTTATCACGTTGAATAAAAATAGTTTAAAACATTACGCATAATGCATTTAACAAATATTCAGTATGTTATTAAAAATGTAATAGGCATGACTTGAAGCTACCAAGTTCATTTACTCAGCTGTCATCTGACTTGTAATTTACCATTTGAGCCAAATAAAATTTCATTAGTTACTAATATATGGTATTTATTACATGTTTATATCTATATAAAATTAATGTCAAATAATACAACAAAATGATGTCTTGGTATTGTCATTACTATTTTTATATGTAATATTTTAACATTATATAACACTAAAATCTTGCTTTATAATTTCTATAATAATCATACTTTTCTAAAAATCCAAACAAAATTTTCAACGAAAAAATATAGTTTTTATAATTTTTGAAAACAACCATTTTGCCCGCTACTGATCACAGCCCACAATCGCACCTCCGCCTCGGCCCCCGCAACCGTCCGCCTGGCAGCCGCATCCCATCAGCCGGCATTGCCTCCCCTGCCCTACCACCTTGCAACTTCGATCGAGGACAGCCAACACAAATATAATTAACGAAAATTGTTGAGTCTCAGTTTCATTTCTTTGCCAAGATATTATAGGCAATGACAACAGAGGTTAAATAATGCATTATTCGCAGGAAAACATAGTAAGACTATGAGAACATTTGTATTATATTGTATGTGTTTGAAATTTACTTAGAAATGGAAATACTCAACAAGTACTCTGTTTATTTTTTCTGCAATTTGTCTGTAAATTTTAAGACCTTGCAATTTTCTCAAAAGCTTAAACAAGGTTGGTTTGAGGTTATGCGCTATTATGACTGTGCTAAATATCCTTGCCATCGACCTCGAATTACCCATTAGCAAAAACACAAAGTTCCTCCGCATCGAAGGTGAGAACATAAAACTTGAATCAGGAAAGCAATAAATAAAATCAGAACTGTAACGACATAAAACTTGAATCGATGGTGAGCACAAAATGTCAGCCAATGCTTTCTAGGCAAGTGCATTTACTTCAAATATATGCAGAAGAACTGCTCAGCGCCCAGTGCATTTCATCATCCAACATATGCGTACCACAAAAAAACACTCAAAAAGGTAAATACTCGAACATGTTATAGGCAGGGGATCCTCAGAAAATTGCTTATAGCTTTCATCAAGACGATAAAGCTCAGGTCTCAAAGATTCCATGCCATCATCGGACCAGCTGCGACTCAATAATCCCCAAATACTAAACCTCAATCGACTACCGATGCCAAAACTCCGAATAAAAAAAGGTTTGAAAAGGAAAAACGAAGATAAATGCTCCATTTCGGAGAAATCATTCGCTACAGCCCACGGAACAAAAGAAGGGCACAGCGACTCAACATCTCCTGGCGATGCCAATTTAGCCATCCCGAAAAACCAATCCCCCGATGATAGACAGAAGGATCGGCTCATCAGGTGGCCTCTCTCCGCCACAACAACAGCAGCAGGAAAAAGAAGCAGCATAGAAATCGAACGTAAAAAGACGAAGGAGAACAAGCACGTTCCAGGGACAGCAGACTCGAGCACCAGAAAAAAGAGAAACAACAGAGAAATCGGACTGAAGAAGACGACGACGAAATAGAGGGTCTTCTCATCGCAGCCTGCGAGGTATCCATTTAATCGGCTCTTCACCTATATATACTCGAGAAACTAGGGTTTCACTCGGTCGGGAAGAAATGCCTCGGTTAGTGTGCTAATTTACAAATGTGACACGATCAGTTCAAGAGCAGCGGCGCCTATTTGTTGCGGCCGAAGCCCATATATGAGGTCAAGATTTAGTATTTGCCATCACAAATCTTCGAATGCAGCATTTATTCCTATAAAATCCTCCATTAAGTCATATACAAAATAAAATTTCAAATTTGGTACACTTATAATTGGGATTAATGTGTTGCTATCAATAAAATATAATTTTCCTTTAATCACCATCAAGAAAAAATCTTCGCCTGTGGCGTTCCGCTCACCATGTGTTGAGTTGAGGCCCAGCTTCAAAGGACGGCTCCTCCGACCCATTGACGTCACCCACCACGTCTTCCGGATTGGACCCGGCCCATTTCGTGGCCGCCAAGCCACACGAGTCTCACCACGAACGTTCCACCTATTTATCACCCGCTCGTCGCTCACCGACCCGACGGAGGCGCTTCCAGATTCTTCCGTTCCTGTGTAGAGGAACCGTGGCAGGGATGTGCCCTTCCGGCCGCTACCCCCGCGGCGCTCCGTCCGCCTCTGCCGCCCGTATCCTCCGGCCGGCGTTCGACGTCCTCGACGCCGATCGTGACGGCAAGATCAGCCACGACGACCTCAAGGCCTTCTTCTCCTCCGGCTTCGCGGCGCCTCTCTCGGACGAGGACATCGGGTCCATGATCTATACCGCCGACGCCGACCGCAACGGGCTGGTGGAATTCGAGGAGTTCGAGCGGGTCCTCAGCGGCCGCGGCGGGGGGAGATCCGGCGGCGACGTCATGGCGGAGGCGTTCCGCGTGATGGATCGGGACGGGGACGGGAAGGTGGGGTTCGGGGACCTGAAGGCGTACCTGTCAATGGCGGGGCTGCCGGCCGGCGACGCGGATGTTTGGGGGATGTTACGGATGGGCGGCGGCGGTGACGCGGTCAGCTTCGACGCCCTCCTCAGGATCCTGGCCGTCGACTTCGCCAATGGCCCGTGAGCTGTTTGGTATCTGTCCCTGTTCTTTCGTGAATCAACACCATAAGGTATTTTCCTTCAATAAAAGTCGAAGAGAGTCGCTTCGGTAGCTCATTAAATGTACGTCGTCGTTTTTGTCAAACGTCAACATGGTACGAAATCCAATAAAAAAATTAGAAATAAAAGATAGATAGTCAGATTACATTCGAAAATTAGAAAATTAAGAAAATATTACTATAATAATCTATAGATGATTTTAATACTCTTGAATTAATTAAGCTATTGTCTTGTATAAAACTTAGATGAAGAAATTTATATTGCAGTCCTATGTAAATGGCAAACGCTAATATGAACTCTTCGTATGCTTACTTGAGAAGGTGCTTTTGGCCTTGCAATGAATGAAGATGAGTTTGATTGATGATCTCACACCGTAGTAGATTGCTTCATTAGACAATAATTTTCTTAATTTCTTATTTCTCGAATATATCACATGAACCTATAAACCTTTTTGCCAACACTTGTAGATCAAGATTTATCAGCTAAAATTAGTAAGAATTTTATGTTTAATTTCAAAATTTTTATCTAGAATATTAAATACTCGAGTGCAATACTAAAGACGCCATACGTAATAATAAATTTTGCAAACAAAAATAAAAAAAAAACTTGCTTTAAGTGAAGATAAAACTATAAAAGTCCTTTTATAGTTTTGAGTAAAAATATTTCTCTTTTTTTTATTTTTTAAATATTTTTTTCATATTGTTCAAAAAGCTTTTATTTGTCAGGATCCTTGAAATGATCTGATATGACAGCCGAAATAGTAATCGATTGTTGTCAAGATAATTAAGCTAATTTGTCAGGATTCTTTATGACTAATCGGAATATTATAATTATATATTACATATCGATCCGGTCTTTATATATAAGATTTATAGTATTTTTAAATAAAAAATTTCGGCACTTTTATCAAAATATCATAAATCTGTCCAAAAACATATAAATTGACTCAAATCTTAATTTAATAAAAATTAGGTCATATTATAAAAATAAAAAAAATTAAATGAACATATTTATTAGTTTAAAAAATAATATAACAAGCCAATAAAAAGACTTCTATGTCATTTATAGTGTTTTAAAAAATACTATAAACCAATAAGAAATTAGCTGATACACCATATAATTTATCCCCGAAAAAGATGTGCGTTGCTGTTGTGTCTTGTCGGAGATACCATGGGAAATACGACAAAAATGTGCACCATTTGAAAAAATAAAATTTCGTCTTAGATATTTAAGCCAAGTCGACGGAAACTTGAAAATGCAAAAGCGTCGTAAGTGGCTTCGAGGTAATTTTGGAATACCTATGAGGTGATTCGAGGTACCGGGGGGTGGGTGGGAATTCTAGATATTTTTCTTATAATTATGTTAAGTTTTTAAGACGTCGCCTCTAATAAAACCAAAGTGGAGAAAGGTTTCTTATAATTATTTTTCATATAATTCTATGATGTTCAAGTTAGTTCGATATTCTTTTTGAAATACGAGTTTTTTTTTAAGCGAAAATTATTTTGCACAATGCTTGAGATTAACTTTTATACTTGGTCTACAGAATAAATAAGTCTCATAGCTGTCCTATTATCTCCCCTTTTCGTTTTGTCCATATTGACAATAGAAAAAAATAAAGTTGGAATGATCCTCTTATCTCTATGGGGGCACGATAAATGGAGGATGATTGAAATTTTTTCTTCTCACGTTAATCTTTATGTGGTATCAGATATCGGATATCGGATATTGATTGACGTCAATATATTTCATATCAATTATATTATTATTATACTAAAAAAATTATAACTATGTTTATTTATTTTTAAATTTTAAATAAATGTGAAAAAAATGGATGAAGACTATTTATTCTGCATTCACAAATCCTACCAAAATTCACACCACCATTTCCTGATCCAACGAAGTGGCCAAGATTACTCAAGCCTCCAATGAGGGCATTACAGTCATTTCAAGCATAAAGCTCCCCGTGCGCTTCTCATCCCTCGTTACTCCTCTCGCGCCCAATCGCAGCTAGATGGCGCTGTGTTCGACGGCACTCTCTGTTCGACCTCTTTCTTCCCCAACCCGCCCTCCTCATTTTCCCAAATTCCCTTACCTATCCCTTGTCCCCTCCGCCCTATTTCGCCACCGTCAGCGACCGGCCCAAACCCTCGCCATGGCCCCTCTCCGCCGCCGTAGCTGCACCGCCGCTCGCGCTTCGGCGTCGCAGCAGGTAGAAGAAGGGACGGTCCCGGTGGGAGAGGAGGGCGCGGAGTGGGGCAAGGTCTCGGCCGTCCTCTTCGACATGGACGGAGTTCTTTGCAACAGCGAAGAGCTATCGAGGATGGCGGCCGTCGACGTCTTCGCCGATATGGGTGTCTCCGTCACCACCGACGACTTCATCCCGTTTATGGGGACTGGTACACTTCTTCCGTTTTCATCATGATCTTTTCGGGCAGCGAATTGGTTGAATAAGGTTCTCGATTGCACATGCAAATGGCGAGGGATTGAACTGAAAGATTTAGGAATTGATTTCTTCATTCATATTTTCCAAGTTTGGGTTTTGCTTTCGTCTTTGAGAAAGTGTATGCAACGTGGTTGGCGTTTGTCAGTGTCATCGAATAATGTGGATTGTCTTAAAATTATACCTTGTTATGATGATCGGTGTATAAACCATGGTGTAGGCGAGGCCAATTTTCTTGGAGGTGTTGCTTCAGTGAAGGAGGTGAAGGGTTTTAATCCGGAGGCTGCAAAGAAGAGATTTTTTGAAATTTACCTTGATAAGGTATAGCATATGATGATTCTTTGTGGAATTGATCCTTAATTCTTTTCATTCGTTTGGAATTTTTTAATGCTACTCTCTATTTGCTCACTTGCAGTATGCAAAGCCCGACTCAGGCATTGGATTTCCCGGAGCTCTTGAGCTCATCATGGAGGTATACTTGCTTGTTCGATTTTAATTGATATTAGGTTTACTTTATCTCTTTACCTTAATGAAAATAAGTTATTGGATGCTGTACTCCATGTCAGTGTAAAAGTCGGGGGCTTAAGGTTGCTGTTGCCTCTAGTGCTGACAGAATTAAGGTCGATGCAAATCTGGCAGCTGCTGGTCTTCCTGTTTCTCTGTTAGTGCTCACGTATTCTGACTACTTTGTTGGCTAATAATCATACTATGAGTGATGTTTATTAAAGTTCAATTCTATCCTACCTCTATGTTAGTTGTTATACAGTATTATGTCTTGATGAAGTATATACACCATGAGAAAGCTTTTCCTTTTGGCAATATTTTTCCATATTAAGTATTGCTTCTTGCTAAATCACGTACTGCTGTTGTTTAGGGTGAGGTCCATCATTCCATACATAGAAGAAATAACATTCATTAACCATAATTAAATTTCAAATCATCATCAAATCTATATGGTCATCATCATTTTTGTCTAATCAATTACTTAAAAATATGCCTAAATGACCTGAGACTGAAACCCCTTTGAACTCTGAGTAAAGAAAATAATTAGGAGAATAAGCAACTGCACATTCAATTAATGACAACAGCAAAAATTGTCTCAGCTATTTGGGCTGTTTACATGGATGGTTTCCTGTCACTGAGCTCTTTTGAGCACAATATCAATAATCAAACTTAGAACCTTTTTTTTGTTGTTGTTTCTTGTACAGTTCTTTTATGTCTAACTTTATCTCTCATCGCATTACCATTCCTAATTTACTTTTATGTACCTTATGTTTCTTATAAAGTTCAATATGATGGATGAACCAAGATATTCTTATTATGAAGATCTTTAACTCTGTAGTGGCATAGTCATAACATGTATAGTATATATGTATATATATTATATTATTTAACTCCAGAAAATTTCTTTGTAGTAGTAGTAACTCAAAGTTATTGTGTTATTTTTCTCCACTTTATTCTTCTAACGATAATGATTTAAGCACTCTTTTTAATTGTAAAAGAAGTTTCACAATGTTTGAGAATACAGGTATTTTCTGTCACTCCCAAAATATCTGAATTCTCACAATATTCAATGATAACTTGCAACTTGTTGTGCATATCAGGTTTGATGCGATTGTTTCTGCTGATGCATTTGAGAATCTAAAGCCTGCTCCAGATATATTCTTAGCAGCTTCAAAGAACCTGAATGTTCCTCAGTCCGAGGTATATTATTTTGCATTGTCTGACAAACCAAATCACATTCCATCATCACTAGACCAAGACAGGATTTTATGCTCTATATACACTTTTCTCAATGTATGAAACTTGGCTATGAAAAAATTATCGCATTGATGTTTTCATGTTTTTGTTTTTCTCTAATTACTACCGGTTTTTGTTGTTCTATGACTTAAAAGTTTTCATTTACACCCGGAGTCACGGAGTTTGTATAAAATCTCTTATTTGCAACTTAAGGTTGACACTGATACATCATCGTATTTCATAAAAAAGGTTTTGCACTCCTTATTTCTTTAATTCAGAAATAGGGACTTCTTGAATGGCTTTACAAATTCATCATAGACTTGTATGAGTTATTGTCTTACCATCAAGAATACTCAAGGAAACAGTCATACTTAATTTTCTTAGTTCTTTTGCAAAAACTGAAAAGTTGGTGTCTGCTTACACTTTGATACTTGGTTCCAATGAGCTATGAACACTATGAGTTCTTGCATTGTTCAGACAAATAGGTTCTGTTGGAGTACATTCTTACATGTCAAATTTTGGTTGGAGGAAATTGGACACGATGTGGTATTCCAGGATACTCTTTATTTGTTCCCAATAACTTGGAATTGGTATGATCTATGTCACAAGGATTTTGGTGCATGGATCTTTCTTGGAATTTGGAACTGGTTGTTAAGGGATCCAAGAGATGATTCTTATATTGGCAAGCTTCACAACTAAGTATTGCTTTCCCAAGCATGTGCCCAAAAAGTTTGGCATGTGCTATGCCAAGCCGTAGCTGGCCAGGCCAATCCTTGGACATGTCCATTAATATGACATGCCATTATTTTGTCTAGAAAGGTGTTATTCTTGGTCAAAGGAAGTAGTTCTTTGTTTCTCATTTAGGCACCAGGAAGAAGATTGGAAGATGCCTATGAAAATTCTACATATGAAAGGGCTCAGTTACAACCAGTGTTCAAAAACCGGTCGGAGTAGTACATGTCCTGTGATTGGCACTTGGACCGGCAATTTTCTGGCCCAGTTCATAATTGATTGGTTTTAATTTTTTTAACTTGGGGCATCCTGTTTGCCTAGGAACCGGTGTGGGCCTCAGACTGAGACTTGAAACCTTGATCACAACTAATTTGGTTTTCATAAGATATACTCCAGCCTTTACT